GTGTTGTATGAACGGCTCTTCTCTCTCCAGTCTTTTAAAACCTGCTTCCTCCTCCTGATGCTATGCAAAGGAGAAAAGAAAAATGAAAGCCAAGAACTGAGGGGGAGAGAAGGTTCATACTGCAGGGAAATAAGGAAAAGGGCATGAGTGAATAAAAGAGGGGGGGAAAAGGGGAGGAGAAGGCTCATACTGCTCTATCGGTATATCACCATTGGTAATTTTAAGAAAAAAGGACAAGTGGGGGACTGATTGTCCCAAGAAACAGTAGAGAAAAAGGCTCATACTGCAAGGAAATAAGGAAAAGGGCATGAGTGAATAAAAGAGGGGGGGAAAAGGGGAGGAGAAGGCTCATACTGCTCTATCGGTATATCACCATTGGTAATTTTAAGAAAAAAGGACAAGTGGGGGACTGATTGTCCCAAGAAACAGTAGAGAAAATACACTGTATCACCATTGGTAATTTTAAGGACAAGTGGGGGACTAATTGTCCCAAGAAACAGTAGAGAAAATGTATCAGTTTAAGAGGGATGAAAAGAATCAGTATAACTGTGATTCTTTTCTTACCTGTGATTGAGCCCTAAGTAGGCAAATAAGGGGGGGGGGGGGTTACTTGTAAGTGGGGGACTGATTGTCCCAAGAAACAGTAGAGAAAATGTATCAGTTTAAGAGGGATGAAAAGAATCAGTATAACTGTGGTTCTTTTCTTACAAATAAGGGGGGAGGGTGTTACTTGTACTCCAGTGAATTAGTTCTAAATAGAGTTTAACCTTGTGCCCTTTGCATAGTGAGTTCTAAATGGAAAATCTGACCTCGTGCCCCTTTGCATAGTGCAAAGGGAGAAGTTGTGAAACATTTTACTCTTCCTGTCTGACCTCATATCCGGGGATTCCAGACAGCAACCCAGACGCTTGTGCCATATACAGACCAGGAGGAGAGCTTGCGTCTTGCTGACTGGATACTTACTGAGAAGAGAAGGCTTCTGCCACATGTTTGGTAAAGTGAGCCAGTCAAACAGAGCATTGGCTGGTGACTTCCAAAATCTCTAGCTGTGGCAGTAATCTGTAGAGCAAAGGTGGGTGGAGTGATGTGGGGGCAAATTCCCCCAACCCACAGCATTATAGAGTGCTGATGATGTCAGGCATAGCTCCCCAGCGTCAAACTGATATTGAATGCCAGTGAAATTTTCTCACTTTAAAAATATATATATTATAAATTGAAAGGGGTGTAATGCTGTGGGATTGTACTTGTATATGTAGTGGTCTTATGTAAAATTAGTCATTTAGGGTAATTGATACTTAAAGGAATAGAAAGTGTAAGATATCAACATTTTCAACTAAATTCATTAAATGCATTTCTTGCAGAGAATGCTAAGATTTTACATAAAGATCTTGTTACATTTCTACTGATATTAGAAAACATTGGAAGGAAGCTACATATCTTTCCTTGAATGCATAATATAAGCAAGTGCGTAATCTTTCTTTATTTGAAAAATTAGCAGAAGAATTATGGAATGCAAATAACCATACAGATATTAATAATATTCTTTGGCTTCCTTTTATTACATGTGTCCAGTCATATGGGAGTAATCTGAACCCCTCCAAATACACATGGGAATAGTTTGTATAATATGTAGGAGATCCTCAGATCCTGCTTATGATATGTTCAGTCTTAAAATGTTTCTTTTTATTGATACACATTTAAAATGTTATTAAAGTTAAGGAGAAAAAAAAACCCAAGCAGCTCAACTGGGAATCTGGTTTTGCTCCCCTCCTGTCCATTCTGTCATTTCAGGGGAGCAAAAAAGAGTGGAGAATTACCTATGATTGGTGAAATCAGCAGGAACTCTCTCCCACCCCTGCCATACGTTTGGATGTGTGTGTAGGAAATCTCATACTGAAAGGAGAGATTTCCAGCTGCCTTTTACGGGGCTCCCCTCCCCTCCTGTTGTACCTTTGTACTGCAGGAAAGACATACAGTGGGGTCTTGACTTGAGAACTTAATCCGTATTGGAAGGCGGTTCTCAAGTCAAAAAGTTCTCAAGTCAAATCTGCATTTCCTATAGGAATGCATAGAAAACCATTTGATCCGTATCTGCTCTTTTCCGTCCATAGAAACTAATGGGAAGCTGCTATTCCGCCTTCGACCACTAGAGGGGGATATTTTGTTTCTTTTTTTCTTAGGTCAAGAAAGGTTCAGGGAAGGCAGGGAAAATACAGCCCAGGCAGTACCAGGCAGTCTGAAGACTCCCAATCCACTCTCTAAACGCTGGGAGGAGTGAGGAAGCAGACAGGCACCCTTTTCACTGTCCAACAGTTAACCGAAAGTTCAAATTTTGCACTTTCCCTGCCTCCCACGTGGGTTTTTTTCAGTTCTTAACTCAAATCTAAGTACTTAAGTCAAGTCAATATTTTCCTATGAGAGCGGTTCTTAAGTCAAAATGTTCTTAACTCAAGTCGTTCTTAAGTCAAGACCCCACTGTACGGTCCTGCTCACTCTTGTATCTGCCATGTTGTTTAACTGCCAAAAATACACACCCCTATAATTAGGTTGTCCTTCTTAAGAGGCCTGCCTTTTTTCTTTGCACCCTTAGAACAGCCAGAGGTTACTGTTCCACTCTCACAATTAAGACTGTGCTTTCTCACAACCCTTGGTTTTTTCTTCACCTCAGGTTTAATTTCTTTGCTCTACTTCTACAGCTCCTTATTACTGGCACTTCCCCTTTTTCAAAGCTCTCTATTAGATAGTATCCTTTTAACAGAATTGCAAAAAACCTGAGGCATCATGTGTACTAGTTGCTGTAATATCTTGTCCTATTTTTGTGAAATGAGAAACTAAAACATGGTTCCAGTCCTATATGAAGTTTGGGGGAATTACTGTTACAATATATGAAGGAAAGTGTGAGCACATAGGTATGGGATAGAAGAGGAAATGTGTGGATGCAATGTTCATACATACAACAAGTGTGCTTTCACAGTGTTTGATGATGGGCTGTGGCTTAATTTACTTAAAAAGGAAATTCAGATTTCCCATGATAATACTCAGGCTTAATTTTAACCAAGCCGTGGTTTTTTTAAAAAAAAAATACACTTTTTTTCTTTTACACATGAAACATTTTTAACAAACGACACACAGTAGCAGCTAATACATATAGATGTACTTGGTGGGCCAGTTCTTTTATACTAAAGGCACTAAATCTATCAATCTACTTTAATTAATTTTAATTTAGTTTTAGTTATAGTTATAGGACTCAGTGATTTAGGGCAACATGTAAACTGTCTGTGCAGAAAGTGCTTCTAACTGTGTGTGTTTGTGTGTGTTTTAATATGGGAGGGGAATGAGAGCAGGTCCTGCTTATGTGATGAAGAAAAACGCAGTGCTTATAGCTTAATAAGCTTTTCTAATTCACACATTTCAGAATTCGAGGCCAGACACGGAATGACAGATTGTGGGGTTAGGCTCAGTACGTGTGAACCCCTGGTCTACACTTAAGAAACAGACTGAGCATGATATTTTAGTTTGAGCAGGGAGCAACATTTGGCACTGACATTTCTTGAAAACATCACCTCTGGGCTTGCTAGGTTTGAGTCAAACATTCAAAAGCTGCTCTCTGATACCACAACAGAGAGAACAAAAGCCTGCAGGCTCATCTCCTTTTCTGGCTTAGAAATAAAGGCGGCCGAGACCAATCGCATTATCTGCAGGAATCAGGTCAAGTTGCTTTGCTTCCCATCCGTTTCCACCCCATGGATGGGGAGGAGGGTTGGCCATTGTAAACTGAGTGACCCAGGATGATGATGGGACGCTGATGGCATTATTTCCTTCCATCTAATTGCTTGGGCTAGTAGGAGTTTGTGAGCAGATGATGTCGCCTCTTTCAGAGCAGATTTGCTGTGAGTCAAACCTGTATGCAACCATCACAGTAAACAGGGTTGCACCTTTGAACACATTTGCTCAAAGTGCAAGATTCCACCAGAGCTGCTTGGAATCCCAGTATGTTGTGTGACTGATTGACATCAATGTTAATTCAATCTAGTTGTGAAAACTCATTGCCTGTGTCAGCATTATCGCTAACTCCATTTCCTAGCATTGGATTGCTGGACTTTTTGTCTTGGTGTGAGGAATTGAAAGAGGAGCTTCTTTTAAATAGGCTGAAAAAGACAGGCTGGCCATGGAGTTAAGAGCAGTGATTAGGCTCAGGCACTGGCATAAGCTTCAGTGAGAGAGATCTCTTTTTTGGCATAGTAAACAGATTTTGCCAAATTGAAATCTGAGGGTGAAGAAACTTGTGGCACAATTTCATTACCAATAAAAGGCATTCTCATTTTTTTCTGAACATAAGGAGGACTGTGCTGAGCCAGGCAAAATCCTTTGTAATTTTGCATTCAGTTTGCATAGTGGCTAGACAGATACCTGTGGGAAGCCTATAGCAATAACACTCCCACATTTCTGCCCTGTAGTGTATTGCCTCTTATATTGGAGATAAATGCGCTGATCATACCTAGCACTCACTGATAGGCTAAAAGTCTCTGAATTAGACATCTGGGGGAGGATTGGGTACCATTTCCTAAAGGGGTTCAGAATGTTTTCACAGATCAGCAGTTCTTGGTCATTCTCTCAGGAAAGTCTATGGAAGCAGAGGTGTTCTGCATACTTTCTGGAACTTCTACCTGAGTCAGGGAACTGCCAACTGCCTCTTCTATTGGTTTTGAAGGGGTATAACTTGACTTGTAATGGACTTGTCATTACAATTTTTATTATGACCTGTAGGCCAATGTGGAATTGTAATCTTCTCCTCTTTATTGAAGTTCTAGATTGAATAGTGTTTATTAAGTGACTAAACTGAGGTGGTTTATTTTTAAAAGTGTTTTGTTATGGTCTTATGGTTGAAATAACTTAATATGAAAACTAGCGGACGTTCAGCTCTGTTAAATGCCTTTTAAAATCTGCAAGACAAACACTGAGTGATCTGTACTTAATCTTCTTTATGTCTGTTTCACTAGCTCAACACGGAAATGTCTGGGATTGTCAATGAGCTTGTCCAGAATTACAATCCTAATGATGACACCAATAGGACACTTGAGACTGCATGGGACTATGTCCAGTCACAGGTAAGCTGCCCACAAGAGTTGATGGGGTTGGAAGGGGGCAGGTCAGTCAGCACTGCTGCGAGAGAGCTAGTCTTTGCTGTGGTGGGAACAGTGGCGGTGTTACAAATCGATTTTTACATTGAGTCATATACATACAGATTCATATAAATTGATTAGTGGTACTGTTTGAAGACTGGCAGCAAGAACAGGTGACTGAGAAAGTTCTTAAGGTGGTACTTTAAAATGCTCTATGCCTGGCATTTCCTAGTCATACTTAAAATAAAGTCCAATTTTTTACCAATTGTAGTTGGAACTTGGCAACGAATGGTGATGATATGATAAGACTCCTACTGCTATACTGCTATGAGCTCTGGAAAAGCAACAGCAAGAGTCATTTCACCCATATTTACTTGTTTGACTTACATCCCTCCTTTCTACCAAATGACACCTGTGATTATCTTACATGAGTTGATAGCTAGCATGTTACCTAGACTACGTATATAAATTGTCATGTGGGCATAGTATTTCTTATCTTACATGGGTTGATAGCTAGCATGTTACCTAGACTATATAAATTGTCATGTGGGCATAGTATTTACATGTCCATTTTGCCAGGTCAACAACTTGTGCATTTTTCTGCACCATGGGAATCAACCTTGAGTGTTGCAACAAAACAACAAGACAAAATGGATGCCATTGTGTTACAGTATTACAGCTTTTATTGTAATGTGCAGATATCTTTTGAGAAAGCATGAATGTATGAATATGTTCTGGACATATTGGGTGTGTGGAAACCCATTGACCTGCTCTTGTACCTGAAGAAAGGGCATGCAGAGTGGGGCCATGTCTCTATCAGGAGACATTCCAAATGACTCCATCTGTGGATTGATGATATTCTCTGAGTATTTCTGGGTCTCTGGTTTAAATGGGGGAAACATGGAGGAGAGGGGAATACAGTTGACTATAACTGGGAATAGACTGCACAGTGTCCTAATTATATGACCTACCTATTTAAAGTACATAAAATGTCATCCTTACACACACATACACACTCAGATCCAATAGTATAGCAGTATTTCAGTAATATGTAGTAAATGAAGTTGAATGAGAGAACAGAGAAAAAAAAGAGCAGTCTGGAATGTGAAACAACTGAATAGCAACTCATGCCTTTTTCTTAGACCTACAGCTAGACAGAATGGCAATTGGAAAGGGATATATACACCCTGTGGTAACATCAGTTTGAGCCCTCCCGAGTAATTGAGTAGTTTGAGAGTCCACTAAAGAGCTATTGAAAATGGGGAGCCATGTGGCCATTACAAAATACAAATGCAAGAATATGCAATACCTTTATAGGCCACTAATAATTTTTTTTAAAAAATTGTACATTATGCAAGCTTTCATGGGTAAATCCCATTTCTTCAAAGCAAGTATCAAAAGCCCAAATGGTTGTGGCAAGATGGGAGTTGCCAGGTGGTTATTCTTAGATGTAACATTCTTGGCAAGATGAATTTTGCCATTATCTGTCTTAGATGAGGCAGGAAGCAGTAAGATGGTTGTTTTAAAGTTGCTGCTGAGGCAGCTTTGGGTTGGATTCCACACGACAGTTCTCTAAACAAAGGAGCATGCACGCGCACACACCCATCCTTTCTATTTGGCTCTTCTTCAAAACAGACATGCTCTTGCTTGGCCTGGGAAGCTGGGGTGATCCAGAAAACCCATGTCCTCCATATTGATTGATTGATTTGATTTGATTTGATTTGTATCCCGCCCATCTGGTCTATGCGAATTCATATGGGAATTGGGGTATAATTTAGCAAACTCACTGGGGCTAGCCAGTTGGTGTTAGATTAAAATAGAAAGGGTGTTACCTGGCTTGCACTTTATTGGAAGATTCAGCTGTCATTTGTCTTTTCCTCTGGTGCCATATTGCTTTCGAGTTTCCCTTTCCTCAGTTCAAAGTGCTGACCTTCTTCTTAACCCAGTAAATGATGTGGTGTTGTTTCACCCTGAGAATGAACAGTGGCTTCTTGTTCTGACCTATCGTCACCCCAGAATTACACAGAGACTCTCAGTATAGTCTGTTTTGCTCATTTGCGAAATACCATACACATAATTGGCTTTCATTCTATATAGCTAGAGAAGATTTCCATGAGTGAATATGTCTCAAAGATCAAGCCCTACAGGCAGATTTTTCTTAGCACTTCAGTCACAACCTATTCCATAGTTTTAACTGAAGGTAGGGCTACACAAGCCTGCGTTTGTTATCCTTTCTCATACCTATTTCTGGCCTTGCAGCTGGGATAAACCATGCCTATGAACTGGTAGAGCCTGTATTTGTGGCCACTATAATTTGTCAGCTCCTGAAGGCTGCTGTGATTTTGCAAATGACAACGGACAGCTCCCGTGTGGATGCTGTGTAGGCTCCTCACAGCTCAATTTTATCATGGAGATGCCAGTTCATACAAATCTATTTCTGCGAAGGCTCCTCACAGCTCAATTTTATCATGGAAGGTGCTGTTGGCTAGTTTGCATTGTCTCCAGAGTGCTGGGTGATATATGTGTGATACATGTGTGAAGCGGCCATTAGCTGTTGTTTTTTCCAGCTCCTGAAGGCATAACTAATTTGCTGTCATTTCTTTGGTTGTAGCCACGTTAGTCTATTGCAGCAAAAATAAAATAAGTTTTATTTGGCAAAGCTTCCCTGGACTTGCAACTGGCAAAGTAAGCTACAATCCACAAAAGCTTGTACATACCAGATAATACTTTCTCATCTTTAAAGTGACACAACATTCTTTCTTATCTTTCCTGTCATATGATTCAACTCATTCTCAGAATATAACTTCAGTTGCATGTGTATTAACAATAATAATCACATACCATTAAATCTTACAGTGACCTTTTCCAAAGTTTTCTTGATAGGGAATACTCAGAGGTGTTTTGCCATTCCCTTCTTCTGGAAGCATCCTTAGACTGCGTGGCTTGCCCAGGTCTGCAGAGGCTGGCTCTCCTCCCTGGAGGCACAGTGGGGAATGGTGTACTTCTTTTTAAACTAAAGCTTTTAAAATTAAGTACTGATTCAAGAAATAACAATCTTTCAGGCTTGTCACTTTCTGGAATATTGAAACTCTTTTATTTCATTTCAAGCATTATCTTTTTGATCTGGGAGGCAGGAAGGCAGAAAGTATCAACTGCCATCTGGTTTGTGTTTTGTGTGTGTATGTTTCTTGGCAAGCTTTAAGCACTGATTGAGGCTTCATGACTTGGGTCTTACCAAGTTGAACGTGGCTCAGCATCTGAGCTGTCGAATGTTTGGTGCCCTCTCTATGTGTTTGCAGTCCCTTGCTGATCACAATAGTCAGCTAACAGGCAGGCTGTAAAAGGATTGTTTGGGCATAGTTGGTGAGCTGTGTAAGCGGACTTGGTAGGTCACAAGCTGTGCTGGCGTAGATTAGATCTTTCTAAAGACAAATCAGTGGGTTAAAGTACCCAAAGCTTTAGGTAACTATTGGATTGGAATTGAAGGCCCTGTTCTTCCTGCTAACTGTTGCTTTGAGCCTTCCCCAGAGAAATGTGGAACTTCAGTCTATTTCTCTAGGCAGATTTCCAGGTTTTCAGCATAGAACAAACATACACACGTACACCTACTCAAAAGCAAAGACAGGAACAACAGTGTGGAAAAACAGGTTCTAACTTTTCTTGGACTTGGGGCTTCCAGTGTAGTTGAGAACTAAAAAAAAATCTCTCAGTTCTATTCATAGTTGTCCTTGGTACTACGTACTTCTTCAGTAACCTCCAAAGTGATCGAGTACCCCAGGACAACTACGAATAGAACCTAGACAGATGTTTTTAGTTAATATTGTAACTTCTCCATGATCTAGATATTGGAGTGGTAAAAGAACTGAGAATAGACTTGAGAGGTTGCCACCACAATATCTTGTCTATACTGCTGTTTGAGTGAAGTTCAAAACAGCATGCTAACAATATGCTTTTCCTGTCCAGGATCCTTGTTAAGAATGGCCACTGCAAGGAAGAGGAAAACCTGGATGATAGCAAATTATTGCAGAAGAACAAGCTATATCCCTCCAAGTTTCCACTTCCTTGCAGTGGCCAAGATGTAGCGGTGGCAACTTCTTGAGTCTATTCTCAGCTCTTCAACCACTTTCATATCTCGATCCTGAAAAATGTACTTTTTTGGATTATAGTTTCAAGATCTTCTGATACCGACTTTAACAAAAAGGTTTGGCTCTTAAGACAGCAAATGTTCATTCTGGGGGAAACATTGCAAAATAGCCTCTCTAAAATGGATGCTTCTTTGGAACATTTCAGCCCACATTAGTAATAGCATTTGAGGTTAAGGGTGAGTGGTGGTATGTGCACAGTTTCTTCTTCTGACTGTGGATAAGCAGTCACAGTTAAGAGTGCAACAGTGGTCTTAACAGTTACAATACTGTTCATACAGTTTTAAAAATACATTTCTCTCTAAACTCTCTCTTCAAATCAGTCCCATTTAGCTATGTGGATTATGTTTTTGCACAGACGTAGCTGCAAAATAAACTTTTGGACACTGTGAATGAGCTTTGCTCTATGTATCTGCCTCTCTCCACGTGTGCTAAGATTTGTTTCTTCTTTTTGACTAAATACAGGGTGTAATTCTCTCACTCCTCCTGCCTTCCAAATTAAATGGGGGTTGATTTAAATAATACAGTTTAATCCTGGCAAGCCTCAAGATTGCACAAAGAAAATTAATATATGTTGGACCATTCAACCCAGTGAAAACAAGGCTTCCAGTATTTTTAGCATGTGCAGGTCCAAAGAGATAAAGCTTCCTTTTACTCTGGTTGAGGCAACTTTGTTTGAAGGGCATTGAGGGTTGGTTCCTACCTCATTCTTCCCCTCTCTTTTCCCCTTCTTGAATACTTGCCCTATCTCTCCTGTGCCTAAGCAGCAGTCAGCCTCTAAATTAGAAACACAAGCCAATTACAGTTTGTGCATATAGGGAAGTAAACTGGGCTGACAAGGAGGTAGGGATGGCCCAAGACATGTTGCTACCTGAGGCACAGCAGAGTATGGCACCCCTCTCCCATTCAAGTCAGAGAACATAGTTCTGAATGCCAAACCAATTATTTGGGCAGATGAGGCACAAAATCCCTCAAGTGTCTCTCCCCATAAAAAGATAATGAAAGCCAAACCATGTAACTAATAATCGGCTACCCATGATACCCAGAATCTGCTGCCTGCACTGGCCACATCACCCTGATTTACAGCAGGGTGAGAACTGGAGGGAAACACTTCCGTACGTGGAGCCCATTAACAACAATCCCGCTGTAATTTGGCTGCTGATATTAAGTGGTCTTGTACTTGATTGTGCAGAAAGTACTTTCTTCCCACTACTGGATGGTTTAAGTTTGGGAAGCTGACACTTCCAGAAGATTCCTATTTAAATTTTGTTGGTGGGTGCAACAAGCTGATTTTCCACAGTACTGCATAGACAAATAACTGTAGCTCATTTGCCTGTAGCTGTCTGGATCGCTCAGTGAGCAGGGTTCCTGGCTGCAGAGTCAGACATTTAGAGTTTGATTCCCCACAATCTTCCAGCCAGCCTGTGCAGCTTTGGGCAAGCAGCACAGTGCCAGAGCACCCTCAGAATAAAGGAACAATAAACTATTTCTGAGTATTCTGTACCTATAAAATTCTGGAAAGAGTCACCATTTAAGCTGGAATCAACATGATACCACGGAATTATTGTTTGGCTACGTGTCTTTCCTTTTTATTCACAAGTGAAAATTAATTGCCTCCATTCTTTACTATTTATGTATAAAAGCTCTCATTGAAAGAAATTGGGAGAGCTCCATCTTCTGGCAATGTACTGTTACTGACACTTGGCGTTCTTGTGTTAAAGTACTGGCTTCAGATGGAACTTAGCAGAGCTGACCTAAACAGCTGCCATGGCACTTTACTTCCCAAATAACTTTCACACATGTAGTGCTTTGACAATTCTGTACACAAGGGTGGATCTAGTGGTGTATGAACACAATAAATCCTGACAGTGATACTCTTATGTACAAATAGTTTTGTAAGCCTGCTAAGAATGTACCACTCCTTGCATTAATGGAAGCATATACCTAGATTTAAATTTTTAGAAATATTGATCTCATTAATTGGCTATAAATTGGCTATCTTCATTTGACTTCTTATCTGCTCTTACTTGGTCTTTATGTACATTATTATTGCCATGTTGGTTGTTTTATTGTTAAAAAACTTTAAACACTTTGTAAAATGTTGTAATGTTGGACACCATTATTATTTTGCATATTTTTATCTGGTCTTTTATTCGATGGCCAGTTTAAAAATTGAATGACTAGATGGATGAATATTGCACTTTGTTAAACTAGAATTCTTTCATATTGTGTATGGTCCATACAATAACATTCACTCAGCTGTTGCTTAGCCCCAACCCATGTAAGTGGTGGTTGGTTGGTTTGTTTGGATATTCGGGGGGGAGGGAGGTAAGTAAGTAGTTTTGTGTTTCTTACTGTATTGATTTCTTGTTACTATTGCATGCTGCTTGGCGTTTTTTTGCCTTCCATACTATAGTGAGTCATGTAACCTATAGTGATTTGTAACTTTCATGTAACCTATAGTATGTAACTTTCAATTTCTTAAATGCTGTGAGAATTTTATTAAGATAGAATAGGGTACTGGGCAGATGAGACAAACCTAGGATCAACTTTCACAAGGCAAAATAAACTGTATAGTGTGGCTGAAAAGGAATACAGATGGAATTGTTTCTTTCTGTCAACATAGCTGTCCTGCTGTGGGTGGACTGGACCTGAAACTTGGAAGAACAACACTGTCCTCCAGAACAATAATCAGACATCCTACCCATGCTCTTGCAGCAATGACTCAACTGAGTCCGCATCACAAATGGGCTTCTGCCCTTTGGAATTTGTTTTCAATGCTACAACGTTTGAGGACTGGCCAGTTAGAAAGCAGGTGAGTGTGGCTATCTAACCTTATACAATCCCATTGTGTTTCTTGGCCTTTAAAAAGAGAAACTGGGTTTACACTCATTAGGCCCATTAGGAAGAAACCAAATTTGGCGGCGGACGAAATTGGCAATTATAGGCCCGTCGCCAATGTTTCCTTCCTCAGCAAAGTGGTTGAGAGGGTGGTGGCAGATCAGCTCCAGGCGCTCTTGGATGAAACCAATGCTCTGGACCCATTTCAGTCGGGCTTCAGGCCGCGCTATGGTACAGAGACGGCACTGGTCGCACTGTTGGATGACCTGTTGAGGGAGGCCGATGGGGGCAACATGTCCTTGTTGGTCCTCCTCGACATCTCAGCTGCCTTTGATACCGTCGACCACGGTATCAATAATCAGACATCCTACCCATGCTCTTGCAGCAATGACTCAACTGAGTCCGCATCACAAATGGGCTTCTGCCCTTTGGAATTTGTTTTCAATGCTACAACGTTTGAGGACTGGCCAGTTAGAAAGCAGGTGAGTGTGGCTATCTAACCTTATACAATCCCATTGTGTTTCTTGGCCTTTAAAAAGAGAAACTGGGTTTACAAATGCCAACAAGGTACTGATCATGCTTCTTTCCCCCCCCACTGCAATAGATGTCTGTGTTTCACCTACTGACCTAGGTTTAACCGGAGGAGTGCAGTAAAATTACACTTTGGGATTACAGTTCCCAGAATTACCCAGTAGATTTTAAAAAATAGTTTTTCCAAGAGCTGAAGTTGACACAGAGTCAATAATTCCCCACTTCTTTTAAAATAATAATAATAAACTCATATTGAGCCTTTATTAGATGAATTCAAAATTCACAACATAATTCTCAGAACTCTTCATCAGAATAGATGGTAAACAGAGCATAAGTAAGGGGCAAACCGTGGAGTCTGCATTTAGCCACAATCTGCAAAGAAGGGAGGCTACAGACCTTCAGTTTATACTCTGGTCTCATTTTTCCATAAGAGTGGTAACAATGATACCATGCATACAGAAGACTGCAAGTACAATCCTTGGCGTCTTCAATTTTAACAGAATCACATAATGAGCAGATGTTCCGCAACCATTTCTGTATCTGTGCTCCTATCGTTACATCAGGCAAAACTGGGCCGGGTCTACAAATGGCATAAGGCAGTTTCCAGGTGCTGAAATGACCAATCTTAGTAAGGCAGGACCTCAGTTGTAGCTTTCTGATGCCCCTTCCTTTGAGGATTATCTAAGTTGTCTTTTAATATTTCTTTCTTCCAATCTTAGGGGTGTATGAGAGGTGTGCAGAACTGGTTGAAGGAGAATCTTGGCATCATTCTTGGAGTCTGCACAGGGGTTGCTGTTATTGAGGTAAGTCTTTTTCACTACTAGGGTTTTACCAAAAATATCTTGGGCCACTGCTTTACTTACTTACTTACTTACTTACTTACTTACTTACTTACTTACTTACTTACTTACTTACTTACTTACTTACTTACCTACCTACCTACCTACCTACCTACCTACCTACCTACCTACCTACCTACCTACCTACCTACCTACCTATCTATCTATCTATCTATCTATCTATCTATCTATCTATCTATCTATCTATCTATCTATCTATCTATACATACATACCCCCCATCTGGTCATTGCGACCACTCTAGGCAGCTAAGCAAATACAACAGAGGTGTGAAACACTCCACATCAGTATTGTCCTTCTGGCCACCCTGAGATTGTTCTCTGTTTGAGTGGCAAGACAGGAGGGTGACCTGGGAGAGGAGGATGCATTTTCAACCTTGGCGTTAGCGGATGTGCCTTCATCTTCGACTCTAATCTTATTATTTAACTGGAATACAATTCTGCCCTGTGGTGTCAACATGTTTCCAGTTTCTGAATTGGTGGATGGTTGCCCAGAATGAATCCTAGAAATCTAATACTTGCTAACAAGCACGGATTGCCTTTTCCACTCTTTATTTTCTGCTGTATGCAGATTCTTGCCAGAATAACTGGCAACTATAGTTGGATGCAAAAAAAAAATTCTAGTTCTGCTTGATCAATGGAACTTGTTTTACTTCACAAAGGGCGATTTTAGCTAAGAGGCTTTCCTTTCCAATTTCACTTCATTGCAGTACTTTTATTTTCATAGACAATGCACATGAATACTGCTTTTTATGAATATCAGGGGTGGGAGCAAGCGAGTGCAGATGGGAGAAATAAGAGAAATATGAGCCTAAGGGTACAGTATGAGCCAATAATAAATGCTGGACCTGGATTTAAGTCTCCTTTCTAATAGAAGAAGTTCTTTACTCTTTCCTTGGGCCTCTGCAGTGCTGAAATGTTTATATTAATAGCAACAAATATATTTTATGTGTCTTTGCTGTTTAGATGTAAGATGTGAAGGCTTGAAAGATGGATTGTTTTTTTGGACTAGTACCAGCATGCAAGCCTTACTTGGTATTATGAATCTGGGTGGATTAACTGCATGAGAGGGTGTGTGGCATTCTGTGTCTGCATGCCCCTCACATAAGGCACAACGGTCTGAAGAGAAGAGCTGTCCCCTCCACCAAATTTAAACTCCTGGAAAATCATTGTTCTGAACTAAACAGAGAACCTGCATGCACAGGGGAGGTTCATCACATGGCCACTCTGTGTGAGAAGGATGATGCAAATGTGCAACCAGGGTGTGTGGGTAGCATGCTTTGCCATCTCATGTTAATGGTACAAGGGGGGGAAATGCACGAGCAACTAGATTGGTAGTCTGCATAGACAACAGCAGACAAGAGAGAGAGAAATAAGTAGTTAGGCTTCCCTGGAGTAATGTTAGCCATTGACATACTAAAATCAATTACATTATGAGTTAGGTTGGAGGTTTGCTAAAGGAAGGGTGCAGTTTAATTCAGTTTATTTTTTTAAAACAAAAGTGAATGACTTACCGTATTTTTCACACCATAAGATGCACTTGTCCCCCACAAAACGGGGTGGTGGTGGAAAGTCTGTGTGTCTTATGGAGCGAAGAAAACAGATTATATTTTCCTGTTTTCTTCTCCTAAAAAATTGGTGCATCTTATGGAAAGGTGCGTCTTATGGAGCGAAAAATACGGTATGTCTGTATTTTTGCACCAGTTAGATCCAAATTAGTTAAGGGGTGGCTCTTTCTGAAGTCAGAGAAGCTGCAGGCAGTGGTGTCAGGGGAGGACCCTTCACAGATAGACTCTTCACAAAGTGGCAGAACTCAATGATGCCTGCCTATTCCTTTCCAAAGAGGAAAGAGGCAGAAGGCAAGGTTGCTGGATGGAGGAAGAGGCTGATTCCAGCAAGACCCACTTGGAGAGGAAAAGGTTTGCCCAGTGTGGTCCCCTCCCAGACTTTCCACATAGGATTGCCATTCGTATAAAGTGGAGAGGAGGAAAGCCTTGTTAAATCGTCTTGAGCAAATTCAGGGGAAGGGTGTGATATAAATCTAAATAATGAATAAATAGTATTTATAAACTTCCATTCAAATTCCAGTTAAACAACAGATGCCTATTAAAATAAAAGGCACCTGGATTGAATTTGGGAATTTGTTTGTGAGAAGACTAAAAGGAGTAAAACCATAGATAGATTTTTTTCACTTTTATTTTGATATAGCTTATATTGCAGTAATGTAAAAGTAAATATAAACACCAATATAACATTCAGTGTTAAAAGTCTCTTACTCAATGCAAACATGATTGAATCATGGTTTTAGCTTACTAATGGTTATTTTTTAGCTGCACGTGTTAACAACTTTCAACGAACTTTACCATCCATGCTCTCTTTAGCTAATCTCTTGCTTCCCTGCCTGTAGAATTATATACTCAGGTCTGAATTCACTTTCTTTCATTCCTCTTTATGGAATTTTCATACAGATGCCAAGAAGCCAATTTCCACACAAAGCCAACAAATCAGTGCAGATTCATAACATCCAGCTAGGGCTTGTAGTCTCTCTCTCTCTCTCTCTCTCAGGTTCCATTATTGCCTGCCTTTTATTGACCAGTGAGCATTTGTTTCATGTAGTCCATACTTCCACTGTTTTGCTTTATTTTGTATCTGAATTCCACTATGCTGATGCAACTATATTGTTTGTATGTCATATTTTTTGAGCATAATGGCCTCAATGTTGATGTTGTGTTTGTTGGCTGACATTTGTGTTAATATTTTTAAAATAGAAAAGTAAGTTGTGAACATACAATAATGAACAGTATAATACTATCAGTGAATGTGCATGAAATGAAGCAAATGAGCATGGCTTTTCATCGTTCATTAGAGCTTATCATAGCAATGTGAACAAAATCCACAGCCCTGACCAGAGGAGCTTTGAGTGTCAATTTTGACACAAGGAGAATTGGAAAGAGAACTAGTAGGCAAATGGAATCAGAGATAATCATGGAAAATACCTTGCTTCATCACAGTGGTGGGCAGGGCTGGTTCTGCCATTAGGCAGATGGTGACAGTTGTAGATTATTGCAGACAGGCAATGTGACATACCCCAAACCATTCCGCTTGAGTTCCTGGCCATTTTGTTCTCCTGAAGGACAGACTCTCCATGTGTTACAAAGCCTATCTTCCACCACCCACATTTTCCTGCTGCCCTTGGGGTGGAACTCTGTCACCTATTGGTGGGGTTGAAGAAGATTCAGCTGCTGGCCTTTCCTTTATTTATGGAATTAAGGAGGCACTATCTTGTCCTTTGCCTTAAGCAGCCAAGTGTCTTGGGATAGCTAAGGTATTAAGCTTAATGGGGGAGGGGAGTTCTCTGCAAGGATTTCCCAAATACAGTGGTGCCTCACTTGACGACGTTAATTTCTTCCAGCGAAAGTGCTGTAGAGCGAAAATGTCATAAAGCAAAATAAAAAAGCTCATTGAAATGCATTGAAAACCATTCAGTGCGTCCCAATGGGCTGAATACCTGCTCATCCAGTGAGGATCCTCCATACGGCAGCCATTTTCGGGTGCCTGTTAAGCAAAAAATGTCTCCTAAAAACAGCGGGGAGCCATTTTGAGCACCCGGCAGCCATTTTGAAAACCCGACAATCAGCTGTTTTGATCGTAGTAATGCGAAGAATCGGTTCCTGAAGCAGGGAACCGATCTTCGCAAAGTGAAAAAACCCCATTAGAACATTGTTTTGCAATCGCAATTGTGATTGCAAAAACATCGTCATGAAGCGGATTCATCGTTACATAGGGTAATCATTAAGCAGGGCATGACTGTATGAATAACATATTTCACCTTGCTCTGTTTTCTCTTACAGCTGCTGGGAATGGTGCTCTCTATTTGCCTCTGCAAGAACATACACACTGAAGATTATACCAAAGTGCCCAAGTACTGAGAAACTGTCAGCCCTGGGAGCTGGCCCAGAGCAAATGCAGCACTCCTTTCCTCATACCCAGACTGTCTTCATCACTTACTGCTTGTCCTCCTCGGACGTCCAGCATTGCTGTGGATCAACTAGGCTGTATTAAAGCCATAAATTCTTTGAGCGATCAGGGCTTGAGCAAGTCTCCTCATCTCTTGACTCTTACGAAGCATCACATTTACGTCTTCCTCTATTCATGTGATTTCTCACTTCATTTTTATTGCCAGCACCATGCTAGATTGCCCTCGCCAATTTTCATTCACTTTTAAACCATTCTGACTAGGTTCAGAATGGTACTTGCTTTTTTGCCACTATCTTCTAGCATTCCTACTAGAGATGTGTAGGTTGCTATTGTTGGGTTTGGACTGTAACTCCCATATTCCCATGCTGCCTGGGGAATTCAGGGAGTTGTAGTTCAAAAGCACAAATATGCGCATCTCTGATTGCTACCTAATCTTCTATTGTTTTCACAAGAAGAATCGTGGGGTTGGGGCTCCTAAATACAAATTTTATAGCAATGAGCATTTTGGGTTCCTAGGTGTTGTTAAGCTTCAATCCCCAAAACCTCAAGCCAGGATGGAGTGTGAGCAAGAGTTCTAGGAGTTGTACTTCCATCAGTATCTGGGGGGGGGGGTTCATGTTTGAGATCCCACTGCTCTAGTTCACCTATCTGCCTGCCTTCTTCAAATCTACTGAATAGTCTCTTGAAACTGTTGTTATATAGTTTGCTGTATCTTGTCCCGAACAGTCAAAGATCTCTTTGTCACATACAGCTAAATCTTTGACACCAATTAAAACTCAACAACTGTGATTTCACCAATTATCTTTTAGGCAGAGTTTCTGACTTGGGAACGTCAATTTTCTCTCTTTTTTTTCTCCCTGCTACATCATCCCATCCTTTCTGGATCGCGTTAGCTTGGAGATACTTTAGAGACTGCATGTATAACATGGATGAGTTTATGCCAGCTCAGCAGAATATTGTCTTGGGTTGCTAGCTTCTTCAGAGGCAGTGATTGAAAATATGTATTTTTGTCACAGTATGAATCTTGTGTAATTATGTTTTGTCTTCCTTATGGTGAATTTTTTTTCTAGAATTGATGGCTGTTGGTACCAGTGGTGGTAGGGAGCACTTATTCTGGCTATTAAGTTACTTCTGTTGAGGAAACCAATGGCTGTAATCCTGCATCTCTGCTTGTGTGCCATGTAGCTGTGGAATCACTACAGCTGCCATCAGAATCCAGAGATGTATGTTGTTGGCAGTCAGCCTGGGGCTCTTTGTAGTGGTGTTTCACTGGGGGACATTTCTGTACTCAGTAGTCCTAAACAGGTTCTGTGTTAGGAGTGATTGCAAGGAGGTCATTGCCACACTGTGGGGTTGGGGGGAATCCCTTACATTGAAGAGTGTGAAGGGAATGTACAAAATAAGCCCTATGGAAACACAGTGATCACGTTCAGGTCAGGAGTGGGCCATATGGCTCATTGACCATTGCGTGGAGAGCTTCCATTTTAAGGAGGCCTAAGAAGGCACTTACTGAAATTCTGACAATTTAGATAAAGGTTATTAGCAACTTTTGCTGCACTACGACCTCCCTGTACAGATCAGTTGGTCTGTAGATGGTGTCTCACCACAGCATGGTAGAGAAGTATCTTCAAGTAGGAGACAATAAGCTATTGACCTGAGGGGAGAAATCAGTGGCCTCTGGAGGCCAACTTTCAGACCTAAGAAGAGCACTTTTTTCAGTATACCTCCAGAACAGAAATGCTATGCTTTCTTGAACTGTTGATCATAAATACAAAAAACAGGCTAATCATTATGACTTTTCTAGACTTTATCAGGCTAGACGTAAGTGCATTAATAGAAGAATTGATCTCTCATGGAGGAAATGCTTTGATCCATTTTTAAGTTCTTTCTCTAAGGTTTCTGACGAACACCAAGTATGGCAAAAGGATATTCCTGGCAGTGTTTTAAAAATATGCTCTTCTTTCCTCTGGCCTGGTGTGTCCCTTTCTGAGTTGATTGTAAATCTATGTTTTATATTCACCTTTTGTGCTTCATTTGATAAGCCGCTTCACTGACAAATTGTTTATGCAATGGTTTTTGTTCTTTTGGATTCAGCTCTGAGGAGAAGCAAAGCTGAGACCATTCTGGATTTCTTTTGTTTTTAGAAACCTCTTCCAAATGGAAGAAATGCATGTACAGATTTAAACAAATTATGGGTGGGTATTTCAGTAATAAAAATATTTGCTTAAAAAAATCATAAAGGGTTGCACAGTCAGTGTCTTTGTGTTTTGTACTGTAAATATACTTTAGAATAGACATCAATAATTTTTAAAAGGATGCTTGGTAATGAGATGGAGTGTATAGTGTAGAACCTCATCGTATACCGATTGACAGTTTGACAAATGGAATGGGTTTGACAGGGTGCTGGGTGGTTGGTGACGGGTGGTGGGGATGTGTTGCTCTTTAGTGATTATGCCTGAAATAGAAACATGTGCAGAGCTCTGTGTCCACAGATCCCCAATAGAAATGTGAAGAATGCCCAAAAAATGATGTGTTCCTAGCAAGACATGCTATCATGATAAGTCAGTATACAGTATGTATCTTGTTGATAAATCAATAGCTTCTGCACCATGTCCCTCTAATTTTCAGACCTGCTTGGCCAGGCTCTGCCCCTTGTGTGCACAACGCTGCTCCTCTCTACATGGGGTTCCATCACGATCAGAACCAAAGGGGCTGAAAACTATTGCTGTGGATGTACAGAGGTGGAGGAAGAGCCCTGCACAGAGGAGGCAGAGCCGCACGCACATACATAGGTGCACACCATAGAGGGAACATTGCCTCTCCAAGAATTCACTCCTAACATGAGACTTAGACAAGGAGCAGGGTTTTCTCCTATTAAGGTTTCCATGATTTGCATAAAATGACTCTGTACATAAAATGATTCTGTACAAAACTGTCTTTCCTACACATGGAGATTATATATAAAATTTCTTCATTTAGATATCTTGTTGAGTCAACAGAGACCAAATCAGCAAGAATAAAAAATTCAGTACTCACTGAATTTTTTATTCTTGCTGATTTGGTTTCTGTTGACTTAAAAAGATATCTAAATGAAGAAATTTTAAGCCCCACAGGATACTTTAACTTCAAACAACCATAAGACAAAGTGATCTTTTCTTGGCAGTGTCTCCATGATTTGTGAAAACTATATCTGCACAGCAGTAGGTATCATTTTAATTTTAACAGCAAAGTGCACACATAAAGCAAATAAGCTGGCTGTTTTTTTTAAAAAAAGAAAAATAATTACTCCAGTACTTCCAGCTCTTAAAAATCCATGCAATAAAGTGGCAGACATCACTTAATGTAGTAACTGCCAGACTAGTCTTATCTAATTTTTTGATCGGGTAAACTCCCTGGTAGATGTTGGAAATGCTGTGAACATTATGTATCTTGACTTCAGCAAAGCCTTTGATAAAGTGCCCCATAATATTCTGATTAGCACAATAACTAAATGTGGGCTGGATAAATTTTAGGTGGATACATAGTTTGTTAGAGAATTATACTCGGAAAGTGCTTATCAATGGCTCTGGGAATGGCAGCTATGCAGAGACGAGGCAGGATCTCTTCTTAATCATCCTAAAATGCAGGACCCATAATGGGCTCAAGTTACAGAAGCCAGATTTTGCCTGAATATCAGGAAGAATGTCTCAATTGTTAGAGCTGTACGACAATGGAACCTATTACCTCAGGAGGTGGTGAGTGTCCCAATGCTGGAATCACACAAAATCCTACTAGTTGCATTCACTGACGTAATATAACTTACACAAATCTCACTCTAATGTCTAAGGAAGTGGACTTAATCCACAAAGGCTAACATTAAAATATAGCAGTCTTTAAGGTGCCAAAATCAATCTCTCTGCAGCCACTTTTGTGTGCCAGTTGTAAGATTATTGTTTAATTGGTGTAAATTATTTAAATACCAGCATAAGATTTGGTCTATTTATGTGTATTAAAAGTTCATAAAATGGAGTATGAATTCTTGTCATCAAAAGTTTTGTATGGTCACTGTGAAGAAGATTATCACCAAACTGTGACACTAGCATTACATACTCCAGCTGCCTCTTGAATGCTTCTGATGTCTTAGTCCACAAGAGGGTGCTGATGCCATATGAAATCCCAATAACAGAGCCATAATAGGATTGTGACTATGCTCAGTCCTTTTGTTTTGGGAGTGACATGCGTTCATTTGGAGCAGTTCTGCATTCTTTGGACTCTGTATGTTATTCCGCTCTAATTTAGACATGTCTCTGGACAGAAACTCTTAGCCACCACAGCTATGTTGTGAATAGTCCCCTTCCAAAAGTTAAGAGGCTAAAAAGTGTTTTATCTGCTTCATTTTCTTTTCCTGAAGCTTGTTTTAATGCCTTTAACAGTTACAAGAGTCCTAGATTTCAGTGCTAAAAAGTTACACATACTGTATCAAATCTAAAAACAGGAATAAACTGTGCTTCTGCCAATTTCTAGAGGTAAACTATAAAAGGTTTTAATTGTTACAAAGTTGAGATGTTACCTTAATTCAGCAGTGGGCTCTACTGTGCGGGAGGCATTTAAGCACAGACCAGGCAGCTTTTCGTCCATGATTCTGCAGAAGGATACGTCCAGGTGACTGGATGACTTGATCTCCAAGATACTTTTTGATTCCATCATTATAAAGAAAAATTTATATTTGAATGGCTGATGCTGTTTGAAAGTTGCACTTCACAATCAGATGGTGCTCATTTTGTTGTTGTGTGCCACCAAGTGCCTTCTAATGTAAGCTGACTTAGTCACCTCCAAAGGATTCCATCAGTAACAGTTCTTGCAAACTCAAGGCTGCGACTTCTTTTATGGAGTCAGTCCATCTCATCCTCTTTTTCTGTGGTCTTCCAATCCATCTCATCCTCTTTTTCTGTGGTCTTCAACATTTCCCAGCACTAGCTGTCTTTTCCAGGGAGTCTTGCTTTCTCATTAGGTGTCCAAAGTACAATAATCTCAGTTTACTTATTTTTGTTTCTAATTTAAGTTTAAGCTTGATTTGATTGAGCAGCTCTTTTTTTTTTTGTCATTCTGGTAATACATGATGTCCATAAAGCTCTCGTCCAACACCACATTTTGAATGAATTTGTTTTATTTTGCATGCTCACCTTTCTACACTGTCCAGCTTTTGCATCTGCCTCTAATAACTGGGAATACCACAGTGCAGGTGATCTTGCCTTTGGTCCCTGGTGAGACGTCCTTACACTTGCGGATATTTTCTAGTTCTTAAGTGCTCATTTCTGCGTCACTGTTTGAGAGCTAAATGTACAATATATAGGGCTAATTAAGGGATTGCGCACATAGGCCTAGGTACAGTTGCTAATTCCAAGCAGAGTAGATCCACTGGAGTATAAATTAACAGCTAATAAATCTTTTCCAGAAATGGGAAGGAAAAGGCCACGTGGTTTCCAAGAGTACACAATGTGAGAGTGGGTGATGCCTTTTATTGGACCACTAAAAAAATATCAAACACCTTGCAAGCTTTTGTGGAGACGTTTCCACTTCTTCCAGCTTAGCACAAACTCTTTATGAATAGTGCAGAAAAACTCTAGACAAGAGTCCAAAAATTGGTGGTTCCTGTCTGTGAGAGTTTGTGTCAGTCCTCTCAAGGCTCGGTCTGAAGCCTCTTTTCAGTGTGGTTTGGAATTTTTACACTCCCTCTCTTTGGACCAAAAGCTTGCAAATTACTGCTACTTTTCCAGAAGTGAGTACTATACACAAAAGGTTGGGAAATATGTGACAGCTATATTGTACAGCAAGTATATGTGTCTCCATAGATTTTATTGCACATCACTCTTATCACTCTGGTAATTTATCTCCCATTGTCTTTTCCTGGAGAGAATAGCATGGGTGCTGCCTAGTTTGTAAAAAGCATATGAGCTAGAAAATAATCCAGGATTCCCCCCGCCCCCCCCCGCAGCCATCCCTTCTCACCTCTGCAAGCGTGTTCAGAGGGACGCTTGATCGATACCACTTTTAATCTTTTAATAGTTGGAAAAGCACAGTGATTGCACAGCAATATATGATCCTGTCTACTGCTGCTCTCAAGATAGCTTTTTCTATTTTCTGTAACAGTAATGGTTTCACAGCTAGCATAGCCTGTTTGATACTGTAACCAATAACTTTTGCTACTGAGAAGCTGGGGGGATAAGATGGAAAGTAGGAACCAGAGCAATACTTGCAAACAGTACCATAACCTTGGAAGCAAGCTCCTTCTCTTTGTGTGGCTAGGGTCATCAAGAGTAGTAAGAATACCTAGCCCTCATCAAAATCAATTTTGATAGGTATACCACCCCTGCGAGGTGGGAAAAAGGGTCAAGAATCTACCCTCCTACTGGGCAATTCTGATAGGTGCGTCACCCTTGCGAGGTGGGACAAAGGGTCAAGAATCTACCCTCCTACTGGGTGGGCTATCAAGTGGGTCTGATGCTCTGCAAAGACCTTCAAGCTGTGGCTGAATTCTGTAGCTTTCTATCTACAGTTCAAACCAGACTGAGGTGTGTTTGGCATGTTTTCTTTGCATCCAGCATGTGCAAGTTGAGGCTAGTGATTTAGGACAGAGGGCTCCTTAAAAGAAAATAATTAAACAGATGGCAACATTCTTAGTCTCCTCCAGTATGGACGCATTCCCTCACATTTCTAGATCTGTATGATAAATGGCTCTTTAATGGTCTGAGTCATTATGAAATGCAGTGTGATTTCAAAGTCTTGATTTATGTCAGAAGGGCTATGCAGCTAATTGTGTAGAATAAATGCATCCAAATGATTGAGTGGGTTCAGCTTTGGTCACTGTGTCTAGGGATGACATAATATCCCATCATGTCTCAAGAGCTGAAAGAAAAAGGAGAACTGTCTTATGCATTCAGTAAATGCTACTGTTGTCTCTCTCTGTGTGTGTTTTGTTTTGTTTTTTAAAAAACAAAACCCGCAGGACTTTCCCCTACATTGTATGCTATGGTCATTTTAAAAACAAAAGCTGTTTATAATGTCGGCTCAGCTGTCTCCATGTGACTAAATTGGCCATGACCTTGTTCGTTAACACAGTCTCGCTCCAAAGCAGCTAAACTGGTGGGGTGGTACATTTCAACTTGGGTCGGATCCCTTCTCCTGATATTCTTCTCTCCTCCCCACCCACACTCTTCATGTATTTAAAGTGCATTCACTGTAAGGGCTGGATACCAATAAGCTGAAGTTGCTTTATTTTGTGCCTGCAAACAGTTCACTGTGAAGGCCAGCCACTGTGATCTGTCAAGAGAACCAGCTTGTTAAGTTTCCTATTCAGAAGCAGCAGCATCTTCCTTCCCTGCCCAAAAAGGCTTGGGAATCAAACAATGCCCTAATCTTAGAAGCAAGCACCTTCTCTTTGTGCGCATAGAGTCATCAAGCGGGGCTGATCTTCTTAAAAGACCGAGCTGTGGCTGAAGATACAAGCTAAAACTCCCTATGTGGCTGTTGGATCATATTGGGAAATTTTGGTTATTTTTTCTCAGCAGAGTATGAGGCTAAAGAGGAAGATTTTGGAGAAATCACCCCAGTCTCATCTCCCATTTTGCTTGGTTTCCCACTCACAAACCAGCACTTTGCATGATAAAATCATTCTAGTAGCATTTTAAAATAGGAAAAAAAAGTATATTTGCTTGAAGTTGCAATTTGTAGTTACAGTCAGAAGGATAAAAGGAAAAATCTCCATGCTTGGTTGGAGATCAGAGAAAGAAAGCTATCAATAACAATGACAATGTCTACATTGGGGAAGGTCTAGGTTACATTAAAGCACAAGTGAATTAAAAGGAATTTTGGAATCTAAAATTTTATATATTCTAAAAAAATACAGTTTTTGTTTTTTTACATTGCCAAAGCAAGTGCTTCAGTGCCAAAGGTGATCCTAGTGCACTTTTTAAAAAAATGATAAAAACAATATAGTATATATTTAAAAAGACAGAAAGCCCATAAAGCTAGCAAGGAAAAACCCAACATGCTCCCATTTTCAAATGCAACAATTTTCAAATGCAACAATTATACACTCAGTTCATCTGTTGCTCAAAACAAATCCTTGGCTCAGAATTATTTTAATTTTAAGTTAACCTCTTCTACACTGGCCTTTGGTTGGCGTCTATCAAGGTTATAGCAGACAGGAAAAGAGAGCAAGAACATTATGGTAGACTTAGATTTTCTAGGCCATTAAATTGTCTAGCCCCCAAGTTGCATTGAATTAAAAGATATGTACAAGGAGATAAAGAAAATGCACAAATTATAAGGACCTACCATTGTGCCATTCCACGTGGAGGCCTGGCATCCATATTCAGTGTCAGTCTGTGTAGCTGATGCTTGCCTTTGGGTCTTGCATCCTGAAAGCATCTACATAGCCATGATCGAAACCTGGGTATTGTATTATATGACCTTTCCTCTAATGTAGTAGATAGATCTTGACTTCTAAAATGCTAGCATTTTTAAAAATAAGAGTACTGGGGGGGGGGAGATGAAGAAAAGCAACTCTTGGAGTGTAAAGAAAACAAGTTCATATTGCCATAAAGCTATTACCTGTATTTGAAAATATTGTCCATTTCTTAGCACTTGACAGAAATAAATCAAAGTATTTCCTGCCCAAACCCACATGTGTCAAAGTTGGGGACCAGATAAGCTTGGTTGTGTTCCTATTTGGCATTTCATTTTTCTAATCCTAATGGAAATTTGCAAATTTTGTTGTGGTATGGTCCATTCTTATCTAAAAAGCGGGTTACGTCTGACATTCAGGGTAGCTTGCGGTCAGTCCTTGTGCTTTTTTCTCCAGTTCTCTTTAACGGTCTCTACCTTCATTAAGCCTTGGAAGGAAGAAGTTGTTCCAAAGTTCCTTCAGGAAGTTGCCTTGATAGAAAAGAGGCTCCTTTCACAGATAGCAAGTATAGTGGTTGCTGGGCCCTTGTATCCTTCTGCATTGCTCCTTATTAGCTTCCTCCTTGTTAGTTCCAGAGGTTTAGTTGAGTGGTGTGGGTGGCAGGTTCTTTCCCTCCAGCTTGCCAAAGGGCAAGCAAATCTGCCTCTGAAAACTCTGGCCAGCTTGCACTGCCCATGAGTTCATCACGTCATCACAAGCTCTTACTTAATGACTTATGAACTTCCTTAATGGCCCAGCTTGAACTGAAAACATGCTCCTTCCTTCAAGAGCCAGCCGCTCACCAGCTCCAATCCAAACACAATGAGGCCGTGTAGGGTATATTCTTACAACTGTGGCTGTATCCTTGGCTGCTTAATCAGAAGCTGTCAAGCAACTTTTGTCAGGAAACATGGCTAAAGTTTAACTTGGCAGAGTGAAATAAGAAAACCTGTAGCTGGATATTTAATTTGCTTTAGTGAAGATCAGGTAGAGCTGGACTCTGGTCACGAAAGCTTAATATCAGCCGTGATGCAGAGACTGAAAATGTTGTTTTTGGTTACCGCAAAATTACTACTACTACTACATTTTTTCCCTAGAATCCTGGCAGGAGAATTTTGAGCATTTTGAGCAAGTAACTCCCCCAAGCTCTAAACTATGGGGGCTAGAGCAGCATGGGTGGGACAAACCCCATTTTCTCCCTTCCCCTCATCAGCCAAATAGTTGTTGCCAGATACTTGAACTAGTTGCTTGCTGAGAAATTTTCAAACTAGGACAAAGGGTGCCTGAAACTGAGCTAAAGTCAAAGACCCACCTTTGCTTTCAGGGCCAACCTAAGACATTTTTTCACCCAAGGAAGAACAGTAAATGCCACCCTCTGCAACTTTTCCAGGTAAAATTTCAAGATAACCCAAGCCTGCTGCATTACATTCACTGCTAAGCCAGAAAATATCACAAACACCTCATCTCCTGCCTTAGAGTAAAAACACAACATGAAGAAATGAAATAAATTGTTTACTGCCCTTTCATGACACACTAACTTTGTCCTCTGGCCTACCTTCAACATCATACCAAATGGTAAAGCCAGACCACATTGCTTTAGATTATGGATGCATGCTGATCCCCTGAAATGTGATTTTTGATTAAATATTGGTGCCCAACCCACTGTATGTGTTTTTGCTGACACCCCAACATGATCCTTGCCTGTGTCCATGACAGTATGTGCATATTTCCAGATCTCCATGAAAATCCCTATTTCCATGAATGGGAAAACAAAAACAGCTATGACTTAGGAGAGGTGGGGGCTATCCAGTGGCATCAATTACAGGGACACGGTAGATCTTAAATACTTGGAAAGAGAGAGACACAGACAGATTTTACTCCTGTCCATAGACACACACCCCCCTCCAGCAATGGTGTAAAGCCCAGGAAGCAGTGGTATTGGCAAAAAGACAGTCCCATCATTGAACTCATGCAAGAGAGATGAAGGCACTCATCCACTGTCACATACACAACTCAGTCCAGGTAGTGTAAATTAGAGTAAACTGAGGTGTATTAAAAGGGCAGGGAGAATAAGTTCTGGAAGACAAATCCTAGCTATAACAAAAAAAAATCGCTTTGCCCTGCAGCTTTGCAAAACAGCAGACTGAACATATACTGTAGATCACAAGTGATGTCAGCCTGCCCTTGCTAGTGCCTCAGTGGTTGAAGTGTTCAGGATAGGTATTGGACTTGTCGGGGGGGGGGGCTTCTCAAGTGTTGCTCCCCTTCTTTGCACTGACTGAGTTTCCTTGAGTATTCTGCATTACATCCATTTTCCCCTTCTTTGCTCATTGGCATGTTTTTGTTTTTAAGTTTAACATTCTAAACACCTGACTGAACAGTGAACATAAAGAGCTGGGGACAGTCTACCCCAGAGGCACTCGGCAGCAAATACTATTAATTCATATTCATATACAGTATTATTATTTTATTTTAGTTATGATGACAACCTCTACATTGGGGAAAGTCCAAATACACTATTTGCTATGGTCCAATCCCATTCAGAGATATAAAAACATATTTTATAGCTGTCCATAACCAGTAGGTCTAGGCTGGCTATGTCCTTGAGATCTCCTGCCCCCCAAAAATAAAAAAAAATTTAAAAGAACTTATTAGTCTTAAAGGTGTCGCATGACTGTCATTTTTGCTGCAACAGCCTAACATAGCTATCTCTTGGAAACCTTTGCTCTAACATTATATTGATTTCAATGTTCTACTTCTTTTAGCAAATGCTCAACTTAACCAATGTCCTAATTGTTTTTACGTGTTGTTTTCAATCCTTGAACAAGGGCTGATGGAAGTTGCAGCCCAAGAACATCTGGAAGGCCATATATCACCTCTAAGAGAGATGCTTTGTACAAACCCTCTTCCAGTGTTATGCTTCTTAGTCAGGGTGAGTGAGCTAGATCCACTCTCTTCAGCTCTCATGATGCTCCTGCCTGCTGTCTTCCCTGTGATGGGAAAGTAAAGGTCTACATTGTAAAGTGTTCTGTACTTATGGAAGCTTCCTGCACAGTTTACAATCTCCATCTTCCAGGAATCCAGAGGTGTATTTACACTACAAAGTTACACAGTAGCTGCTTTATGTCACTTCAGTTGTTCTAGCTCCATGCTGTAGAATCCTGGGATTTATCAAACTTCAACAGTGGAAAACCTTCTCTGGTCCTGGGCTGTTAGTGTAGCAATTTTATACCACATTAACTGCCATTCCATACCACACAATCCTGAGATTTTTCATTTTTGAGGTCCTTGGAGCCCTCTGCTAGGGAGCTAAGTATTTCACCAGGTTTCAAAAAGACAGAACTACAGCAGTTAAAGTGGCCTCAAACTTCTATAACAGTGCAGATATACTAGGTTTCCAAGACCAGAGGAGTCTCCTTACTGCCTACATTTGCTTTCCTAACCCATGGAAAAATCTGAAGTAGACACAATAAAGGGGTTTGTGTAGCAAGCTCATTTTCACTATCCTCCTCAAGTGATGGTAACTAAATGCCTAAACAGAGCAAGAAGATCTGATACATACCAAAAACAATTATTTGAAATACAAATCACTATTCTACAGAATAGACAAAAACTTCATTGTTTGTCCAGGTTCTCGAGAAACCCAACCGGTGCTACAAAACTCCTTTTTAAAATCTAGATACATACATGATTTTTAAAACTGTTGACTTAACTTCAGCAATACTTCAGAATCTCAGGCAAACCTATTATTCAGATCCAAATGTGAACAGAGCTTCTTGATAGTATCATTTTTGGGAGGACTTCCAGATGGCAACATGAAGAGTTTGAAGAAACAGTTTTGTGTTTCTAGAGCAGAGCTTAGAAAACAGTGTCCATACTAGCTGAAGGATTCTGGGGGGTAATAGTCCAAAACATAAAATTTCCAAAATCTCTTCCAGAAGACCTTTTAGGGCAAAGTGAGGTGATTCCAGAAAGAAACAAAAAACTAATTTGGAAGTACAAGAGGCTACCAAAAAGCCAGTATAATAAAAGCACATACTTTTACTATAGTATGAAATAGAAACACACTGAGTGAAAATTGGTGAATGAACAGAATAACAGGCAATATGTAGCAGAGAGTGTTTGCTAGCTCCGAAAATAATCTCTCTGAAGCAACTAAACTGGGATGAGTCTAAATTGTACAGAAAGGATATTAACAAGCAGCGTGCATACTCCTGGCAACAACAAGAACAGGACAGTGAGGTTATATCCTGGAGTGACTCTCTTAAATTCCCCATTAGGAACCCACACGTATCCTGGGGAAGGAAGTAACAGCTGAACAAAGTCCAGAAAACAGACAAAACAGGAAAGAGACCAATACTGAAGCCCACAGTGAATGAGAACGACCTTCAGTCATCAACTTCATTACTTGGCGCCCTCCAGCCTTGCTTCTTCCTTCTTCCCGGCTCCCCTTCCTGTTGGTCTGTCATATATCTGAGCCTTGGCCAGCAGGTATCACCAGGCTGAGCACTGGCTGTTCATACCTGCACAATAGCACAACTTTCTCCATTGTTCTGGGCAGCTTGAAGAAACCACATAATGTGGCCTGGTAGGCCAATACTTTACACTAACCATTCTCAACGAGGGCTATGTGGGCCCTGGCAGATTTAAAGAGGGACACAGGCCAGAAACAATTCTTCACACACCACCCTATAAGGTTCATTATGCAACTGATTTGGCCTATATTTCTTTCATATTGTATATTAAGACCATGCCTCCCCCCCAAAAAAGTTGAGAATGGCTGCTTTACACCACAAAGTATCATGTTGAAGATGCGTGTTTCTTTCTTCCTAGTGGGAAATATAGCACACACATGCATCCAGGGCTTACAGTAGCAATTCCCATAATGAGAACAGCTGGAAATACTTAAGCTGTGATCCAGTACTAATACCTTTGGATTATTCCCTTGCCTTTATAATGCAATGTCTCTTTCTCAGGTGATATATGTTGTGACATTGCAGCCAAAGTACAGTTCCAGAAAGCTGGTCAATGGCTCTTGAAGTTAGAGTACTGTATGGTGCAATGTTTTAGCTGTAGCATAATTCTGAGTTTCTTAAAACAATGGCCCAGCAAAGTTATTCGAACAACATGAATGTGGGAGGACCTAAATGGATGAATTCATTCATAAATTAAGGTCGAGGGCTTTGAGTGCTTAGCTGTTAAAAGGCTCAGCTTGAATTGTTCTCCATTCAGGAAGTTAGCAGTGAATTACATTCACAACTCTTCTTTCAATAGCATCTTCATCATGGACAGCTATATGATAGGGAGATACAATGCAGGTCCTTCCATGCTGAACATAGGCAGTAGAGGAGGGGGGGTGAGAAATGTGTTTCAGCTTACGTTTTTAAAAAGAATTAACTTAAATCTCAAAATTCTTTCATAATTGAGATACTTCTTGGCTACTTCTTGGCTAGATTACTGTAATGCACTCTGTATGGGGCTACCAATGGTAAGTGTAAGGAAACTTCAGTGGGCCAAACTGCAGCAGTCAGATTGCTGACTGGTGCTGGTTAGAGAGATCATGTGACACCTGTCCCCCACCCCTCCAATTACAGCAGCTCCACTGGCTGCTGATAAGTTTCTGGCTACAATTCAAAGTGCTGGTTTTTAAACTATAAAGCCCTAAATGGCCTGGATCCAAGCTATTCCAAAGACTATATATCCCATTATGAACCAGCTCAGGTGTTAAGATCATTAGGAGACTTTCATTGATCATAAGATCATCCTTTCTCTTGGCCCACCACCTTCACAGGTGTATCTGATGCAGACACAGGAGGGAAAGCCTTCTCTGTTACTGCACCCAAACTTTGGAACTCCCTCCCACAGGAGGCCCCATTTTTGCTGTCCGTTTACAGACAGGCAAAGACCTTTCTCTTCAGGCAAGCCTTCCTCAGTCACTAGCTATCTCTCTGTGATTTTTTTGAGGGATTGTTATGCATTACTGCTTTGACTGGGTTTTTAGTACTATTTTGTTTTCCATTTTTATGTTTTCCAGTTCTCAAAGTGGTGTTGGTTTTTTAAATATTGGTTGGTTTTTTAAATATTTCTATACTTATTTCTATACTTATTGTTCTTACCTTTAATATTGCCTTTTAATGATATAGGATGCCTCTTTATACTCATTGTTCTTAGCTTTAAACGTTGTTTTTCAATGTTGGAAGAGGCCCCTGGTCCTTTTCAATCTTTTAAATAAATAACTAACTTCAGAACTGAAGTAATACACATGGCTGTCTAAAGAGGGGGCTTGTAAGGACACTAAATTGAAGATTTTAAATTGGGAAGTAACAGATGGCCCCTGGTATTGATGCCTGTGTGTGACTACATCCATGAGCCAGGTATCTAGCCTGCACCTGTATTACAGGAGGATCGACCATCTCACTGGTGGATGGTCAACACTTCCAAAATATAATGCAGGGTTGGATTCTGCTTCTGTGAGAGGAGAAGCTATGTTTGGGACCACAAGTGGTGAGCTTTTTGCCTGCTCTGCCCCACTCTTGTGGTGCTGGAGGAGGCTCTTGAGAGGCCCCTGGACTGCAAGGAGAACAAACCTATCAATTCTAAAGGAAATCAACCGTGAGTGCTCACTGGAAGGACAGATCCTGAAGCTGAGGCTCCACTACTATGGCCATCTCATGAGAAGAGAAGACTCCTTGGAAAAGACTTTGATGTTGGGAAAGTGTGACGGCCAGAGGAGAAGGGGATGACCGAGGATGAGATGGCTGGACAGTGTCTGCGAAGCAACCAGCATGAATTTGACACAACTATGGGAGGCAGTGGAAGACAGGAGGGCCTGGCATGCTCTGGTCCATGGGGTCACGAAGAGTCGGACACGACTAAAAAACTAAACGACAACGACGACGCCCCACTGTTGCCTGGGACTCTCATAAGGAGCTGCTCCCTAAAAAATAGCCACCCAAACCTTGTATGTTGGGTGTGTATGTGTGTTCCTTCTGACTTTATTACAGTTGGAAGATTTGTGGTGTTAAAAACCCAGTTTTAAAGTTGGTGATTTTAACAATGTGAATGAAGGCAAGGAAAGCACAGTAATTAGAACTACAATTGCACACAATTTTTCTAAAGGATGCTGTGTGGGCTGGCAATTCCTGTCTCTCTTAACAGTCAACTTTATGAAAGCTCTTGGAAAGTGCTGACTAGTTCCTCTGCTTCTCTGCTCTGTGGAAGTTGTGGTGGAGGTGACAAGTCATGCAGTGTTTAGTAACCCTACATCCGGCTGAAGTAAGGGCAGTTCTCAATGAAGGGAAGTATCACAGGCCAGTAATTCTGTAAAGCTGTCTGGTGACCTTCTCTTTATAGGGACAGCCATCCATCCCCAGAATCCCTGTTCCCCTCCTCTGGAAATATCCTGTAATATCTGTCAACAATTTCTTTCTCTTTGGCTGTTTCATCCAGTTCTCCTTCTCCCTAACTCTGCTTTGTTAGCACTTCCAGAATCCTAATTTACTTGCATAGCTAGCAAGTCAATGTTCCTGAGATATACCCTTATCCATCATTCTCATACTGACTTCCTCAGGACTTCGGTCATACTTTCCCCTATATTCTTGCTTCTTTATGTAACTCTCTCTCTCTCTCTCTCTCTCTCTCTCCTTAGATCCATCCAGAAATTTTGGCTTTGCTGGCCTAAAAACACAAAACAAACAAAACAGACAAAGCAAAGATAAAAATCCACAGATGAACAAGACTTTTATTAGGATCAGCTAAGATTCCACAGGAGTGTGCAAGCGTTCAAATTCTGGGAAGCTCTTCCTCAAGTTCGGCAGGACAAATAACTGGAGATGCCATGGAAGTCTAAAACTGAATTAAATCTGCCTCAGAGAAAAGACAGTTAAGCTACCTAGTGGCGGGAAGGAAAGAGGACTGCTGATTGGTTGCTTAAGAACAAGCAAACAAACAAATAAATAAGGGTTTCATTGGTAGCATGTTGGGTTGCTACATATTTCAACAAATTTATCTAATATTGATGTCAGTTACTAATTATGTTACTATAGAGAATCCAAACATTATTGCTGCCAAACATTTGTCTTTCTCTACCAATTTAGTACCCTTCAGTCTGAGTTGCCACTCGCACCTTTACTTCCCCTCATACAGCTCCTCTAATTATTATCGCTGCTTGTCAGGCACATTTTCTTCACCACTTCATCTCCAGTTCACAAAAAAATCTTTATTATTTAAAGTATTTGTAATCCACCTTTCTCCTTAAAAAGAACCCAAGGCGGCTTACATCATTAAAAGGCAATGTTTAAAAGCATTACTTACTGAATTTCTGGTTGTCCTGGAAAAAATTTGGCAACCCTGATTTCAGGGCATGAGGTGTGTGTGTGTGTGAGGGGGTAGGATATTCTTCAGTGGCTAGCTAGCTTGCCTACTACATAAGTAACATTGATTGCAAGTGGCGGGCAGCTGTCCTCTGATCTCTAGTCCTGCCACTGATGCGTGCTATTCAGATTGAGCCTGGCAGATGATGGCAGTTCACACTTGGCTGCTTGTTGCTCATTCATTGATTGGTTTTAGAGGTTTTTCCTTCTCTGGGGCCACATGCAATTCCTTTCCCTACACTGTGCAACATACAGTTCTCATTTTACTAGCTTCCCAATATGTTCACCTATTTCCTTCCTTCTTTCCTTCCTTCCCTCTCTCCCTCCCTTCTGGCCTCATGTCATATGTCAAAAGTTCTCCTTCCCCAAGTGTGTGGTGGGAATTGTGACTTGCAGACAAGCAGCCTAGAACAAAGCTTTTATTAAAAACTGGTGTTCCAGAGTTTTGAATGTTTGGTTAAATTCTCCAGCTTCACAGGAGAAATGCACAAATTCACAAAGCAGAATACCTTTTGTTCCCCAGGTTAGTCCATCCCTTTTTCTCATCCTCTGGCACTTACAATCTCAATAATGCCCTCTAAGACACTAGTAGGAGAAATAATAACATATTTCATTACTTACAGAGTGGTCGCAAGACCAGATAGGCAGGATATCAAACAAACAAACAAACAGATCAAACAGCAAATTGAGAAACATGAATGATTTTGGATACAGACTTCAACAGACTCTACTAGAGACAGGGGAAGCACTAAGCAGACAGGCAGGGCTCTCTTTGAATTCAGAGGCAAGAAAAGAACAATTGGTTAGTACTGTATAGATTGACAGTCACCCAACCCAGAAATGTCCCTCCCAGCCAAACTTACCAATTGGTTATTCCTGTATAGATTGACAGTCACCCAGCCCAGAAATGTCCCTCCCAGCCAAACTTACTAAAGACAACATGTGGGTTGCAAAAAGTCCAACAGTTGGCAGGTAAGCTATCCTACCAAATGCTAACCAGAAGCGTTAATAATTAGTATTTGCTTTTTTTTAATGCAACACTGCTGGGGGAGGTACTGAAAATGAAGCAGAAGAATCCAATCCAGAATGATCCACAAATCAGGAACATATCTCTCACTGTGGCTTAGTATTTGCTTTTTTTTAATGCAACACTGCTGGGGGAGGTACTGAAAATGAAGCAGAAGAAACCAATCCAGAAAGAGACAAATCAGGAACATATCTCTCACTGTGGCTTGGAATGGGAGGGTCATGTTTCATTTGCCTCTTTTGACAGGACTAAAAGTAAGGTTGATGCCTTTCTACTAACCCTGCTTTGCTTTTAATACTAGGCTGACATGCCAAAGAATCTGAAGGTATACTTTTCAAAAGCACTTGGAGGAAAAATTCTCAAGATGTTTGGCCTTTAAGGGTACCTGTCTTTAAAAGAGGCAAAGCAGCTTGTGTGTGCATCCTGTCCATAAAAACAAATGCACAAACAAAGGTTTGGTGAGATTTGGAGCTCCAAAATGTCCTTGTCAGGCTGCTGTTTTTCCACAGAAACACACAGACACATCTCCAAAAAGAAGCTTTCCCAGAATGTATTTTCATCTCAGAAGCATTGTGAGTTTTCAAAATAAAAAACAAACAAACAAAAAAACCCAGGTGTTTTGCCCTTTGGAAGAAGCTTCACCTCTCATATTTCTCTTGTTTGGCATCTAAAAACATGAACTGTGCTGGTGAGCACAGATTGTAGTTGCAATTATAGCAGAGTGATGTATTTATCACCTCAGATACTTATAATAGCTCTGCTGGTTATTGGAAATGATTGTGTTTTCCAAAGTACAGAAATGTCTTTCCTACACTTTTTCAGAAAACCACCTGCTTTACCCTGAGACATTGACAAATAAAGAAGAACAAGGACAGCTGTGCAGTGTGAAACCCCAGAAACCTTTCACAGTAAGAACTGCTTTGATATCATGACCTGTAATTACTAATAACAGGTGCTTTTAAGTGACTAGGAAAAAAGTGGTCTCTGGCTTTCTGTGTATGTTTTTTTATCTGAAGCATGTAAGGAGGGGGGAGAATGGATCAAGCATCTTTCCAGCAACATTCTTAATTTCTGAGGTGCAAAGCCAATAGCATTTACTGAGAACGACTTTAAAAGAAACAGAGGTTATTTAAAGTTACTCAGGGCCTGAGAAATTGGTTGCAGATCAAAGATGCGTGGAGAATACATTCATTCATTCATTCATTCATTCATTCATTCATTCATTCATTTATTTATTTATTTATTTATTGCCACCTGACAATTTGTCCAAGGGGTATGTCACCCATGTTTGGGGAGCTACATGGTTTACAGAGATGAGATGTTAATAACTCTGCTATTGCTTTCTTTGCAGTATGCAAGCCTGTGTGTGCTGCCTGACCCTGGAATGAGCTTGGAGTTCAGCTAGAAAAATCTCCTGCCTCATTTCTCCATTGGGTAACATGTACAAGACAAGTCTTGTAAATCAGGTTCCATAGTTGTCCCTCAGTGGGAACACAAGCAGCTGGTGGGAGTGCGGGTAACACGTACAAGACAAGACATGTCTTGTAAATCAGGTTCCATAGCTGTCCCTCAGTGGGAACACAAGCAGCTGGTGGGGGTGGTGGGGTTGGAGTGAGAGCGACTACGGTGGCTCTGGTACCCTTGCCAACAAATGCAATATACTCTACGCACTTGTACCCAGATTTAGTCTCCTCTGAAAGTGTGGGAAAGGCAGTGGCATTCCTATCATGAGCCAACATTGGAAGTAATATCTTTTCATTTTTGTAGAGCTTAGGTGTTCATATAGCTCAGTGGGTTGTAGCAAGGGCTGGAGGTCCAAATCCCCACAATGCTTCCCTGGAGAGAAATCAGCTGAGATCACTTGGGACATGCATGGTTGATGGGCTATGGGCCCTGCCCCCTGCAGAGCCTTGAGGGAAGCTGCACAGTTCCACAGCGCCCCCAGAAGGAGGGACTAATAAACCATGACGAAGTAGTGTAAGCTTCTTGGCTAAAGGAAACTTTCCCCCCTTTTTACTTGCAGTAGTCATACAGCGTTTAGTAGGATACAGGACATACTTTCCACTGACATGTAGTATTAAACGAGATGCATACACGATTGTAATTTTCCAACACTTTATATATCCACAAAACCCTGGTTGGGTTACTGTCAATCAGCATCAGCTTGTTGGCACAAAGTTTATCACTAGTATTTCAGAACTATAATAATAACAGTTATTATTTATTGGTTTCAGGAAGGTATTACCCTGACTTTGGTCTATCACGTTAGTTTTGAAGTGAAAACTACTAAAATATGAAGAAGGAGGAGGAAAAGAGAGAGGAGGAGAATTTCAAGGCAGCGTTTTACATATATAAGGGCCAGAGGATGAATTCTATGTATTTGTGTATTATGCACATGCACTGTCTTTGGACAGATGAGCAAATCAGACTGAATCAGAGAATTTGTGTGATTTTGGAGCAACTACATGGTGGAGCAAGGCAAGCACTACTGCTCACTGCGAAATGGAGCAACAATCCAATGGATCATTCTTATTCTATCCAAGATTTGTAGGGCTAACAGCATAATCTGCAATTTGAACTGCATTCCTGGTGCCACTGGAGAAGGCAAGTGAATGGTGTATCCTTTAGTGAAGTCCAAAAGTTCTCCTGGGCACCACAGGTAACCACAGAGGTATTAAGGAAGACTCGGATAAGATCACAGTGCATGTCATATCCTCCCGCAGCTTCTGGACCAGACATTTTGCAAAAATGCAGGACAATGTGAAAGACTTGCACTGCTATCTATCCCAAAATGGATAGCACTGTGCCCCCTGCCCCCTCATTCCTAGCTACCTATGTCCCCCAACCCTTAATTATAATGCTGCATTGCTTTGTTTTTGTTTTGTTTTTGATGGAGAGCTGGAAATGGATAGATAATTCTGGGGACTCCGGGTGAGTGTCTTTTAATGGGCAGAATTTATTTATTAATTTAAAATATTTTATCTCCCTTTCTCCTTAAAAAGGACCTATGGGTCAGTCCTGATCTGTATGTCCAATATTCAGGTACAGAGCAAATCAGGGGCCATTTGTTCATCTCTGTCATATCTTAACGTATCATATGACCAGATTGAAATGTATTGAAAAACAAATGCAATACATATATCAATGTATTGTACATATATATCAGTTGGAATTACTGAATGTTACATGCCACTTATCCATGGCCCAAATTCACTCTTCTCTCATCCATGTCATAGTGACTTTAATGCCCACAACAAAGCACAGGGTACAACACCAGCCAGCACCTGACCCATGTGATATTCCTCCTCCACTATTTAGCAAGGTCACACCATCAAAAATAAAAGTAGCTCAGATCTTTACAGTTACACCACAAGGGGAGAGACATTATCCTTTCTTAAATTGCACTTGTAATGTTATATAGTGATACCTTCCTTATATGAATTTAGAACTAATTATACATGCCTATTTGCTTGTAAGCAGTTCCTTCCAAGCTCTGGAAATGGTGGGCTAGCAGCTGAATAGCACTCAGTATTGATAACCCCATTATAAAGTAATTTCAAGCAGTCTTGCCAAGTCAGCAGCATCCAATTCCCTGAGATTTAGGGACAAAGTTTGAGACAAGGGTTTGACATCACAGGGAGGAGCTGGAAATGGTTCAGAGGATGTATGGAACTGCTTTTCAATTAATCAGTTGGGAAAACCAGATAAATGGGTCCAGAATACAAGGTGATATGGTAGTCCAGAACCAGGAAAAATAAACTGTTTTTCAGTGCCTGGCTAGGCAACAAAACATGCCTAGAAGCTTTTGTTCTCACAACAACTTGCATTCTGTGGTTCACTACACAAACACAGAGTTTTTCAAGGTTGTGTACTGCTTTTGGCCTTGTAGAAAGCTTACCACCGGGCTATAGGTCCCCCCTCCCCAGATCTCGCATTGCTGCTGCCAAGATTTGTGCAAAAAGAAGGCTTGTGATTTGTTACTCCTGTATTCCAGTCCTCCTCCTCCTCTCTCTCTCTCTCTCTCTCTCAAAATCTCTCCTTCTCAAAATCTCTCTCTCTCTCTCTCTCTCTCTTTTTTTATTTTTTTTATTTTTTAGTATGCCAAGACTGATCAAACACGTTTGTACTGAACAGTGAGCACTGGAACCAGCTGGGAACAGATGGAGAAGAGAGCCCGACTTAAAGACACTTTGGACACAAAAATCAAAATTTTTTGTCCTCCAGCTCCATTAACTCTCAGATTAGCCTTTCCGCCTACAGTATAAGAAGCATCCTGAAACTCTAGCCATGAGGCCTAGCTACCCTAGTATGTGCAAATGATGAAACAGTTGGATACATGGATTGTGCTGATGTGTAAATGGTGCAAGGCTCAGATTTTATTTCAGCAGGTATGTTTCTATAAATTCTCATCACAGGAAGTGGAGCGGAGTGCCACCAGGATGTTGCTCACATGCAACTCTCTCCCCCAGTACTATCTGAACAGGATGTAGCTATTCAAGTGACCATCTAAACTTAACAATAAACTGCATGAGGACCAATCATTTGAAGTAGAATCTGGAGAAGTAGAAAGTAAGAGATTTCCCAAACCAAGATCTATCTGTCCTGACTCGCCATCTAAATGGCTTTTCAGTTGTTCTAATTTGGTGCTTGTTTTTAATATCAGCTATGTAACGGTCTTCTAACACAGCCATTCTTAGTGGGTGCTGGCACATTTGAAGAGAGTCGTAGACTGGAAACAATTCTTCACACACCACCATATAGGATTCGTTATATGACTTATACAGAACAATCTTGATTTGGCCAATATTTCTTTCATATTGTGTTTATGGCTATCACCAAAAAAAGGTTGCGAATAGCTGTTCTAACATTAAAGCTAGGGTTATATCTATTTTTAATTTTCCCTGTGGGTTGCTTTTAGTCCTATGATGGGAGAAAGGCATAATATTACATTAATTTGAAAATTGATTAATAATATTGCTAATAATATTTAGTGTATCAAATGGACTTTTGCTGATGCAAGTGAACTTTCCTGTCTTTCTCATTGCAACCTCCCTGGTCTCCCCAGATTTGCTCCTAAGTGGCTCCCAACCATTCAGAGCTAGCCTTCAGTCGTATCTTGAAGGATACGGAGACTGAGAGGAAGAGTGAGTATTCCCTCTGCTGAATGTTGTTGTCAAACACACTAATGTGATACCATCCATTAGCATTAATATTTTTCATATTGAGGTGATTTACTTTGAAGTGTCACCATGGATTTTCATGCAAGCAATGGAAGAGGTTTTTTGTCTTGGCTAGAAAGTATTGCCCACCTACTTATGACTTGATTGTCTTTTAATAGAACATCCTTGTGTGTCAAATCAAACTCTTCTGTTTCTTCTCTGGCAAGGGAGCCAGTGTACTTAGAAGCTTCATGAGAAACAGGCATCCAGTGTGTGATACATTTCTCATTTTATGATGAGAAAAGTGTGGCCTGCTGGAGTTCTGCTAAGCCTTGTGTCTGTCAGAGACATGTGAGCCTGGCCTGCCAGAAAATAAAGCTGGCACAAAAATATTTTTGTTCTCAGTTTGACCTTTTGTTGCAGTGCACCCTTGGTGAGCACTGATGTACTTAGCCCTTGTTTACCACCCTGTCCCACAGTGTGAAATCTATGGGAGAAAAGTTCTCCTTGTGACACAAAATTGGGGGATGTGGAAGACCAAGGTTCTGGGAGTGGAGATGGGACATTGTGGGGCTCAAATTTCAGGGGGAATTCATGTCTGCGAGCCAGAAACCACCAGATGCTCAGATAAAAATAGAAGTTGGAATACTTTTCCATAATGGACTACATTTGTTGGACTATTTTTCCATAATGTTGAGAAATATCTGTTCAGGAAAAGGCCTCTCTAGGGAGTTGAATGTCTTTCCTAGGATGTTTTGCTTTATGTGGCCATACAATTATATTGCTCAGGAAAAAAAATCATCCTCACAGAAAGCTTAAAAAGTTTTTTTAAAGCAAATTATCTACAGTGGTAATTCTATGACCTAGCCCACCCCACCCTCATTAGAGAATTTTTTAAAACAACTCTATTTTTCCATTGTTCAGAAGTAATTATCATAGTTAAAAAAACCTCTGAATGCTACAAGCTTCTGGCTTGTGGTACAAAATCACTGTATATGCCTCCACCCACTCCACAATCACCTCTATATCCCACAAAACACCATGAGGCACAATGACAACTAGCACTTAAACTGTAAGATGCTCTTTTTCAACCATTAACTGGGGCCACATGCCCCTGACTTACTATATTAAGCAACAGGATTTCAGCGACTAAAAGATAATGTAGGTAAAAGGTAATGCAAGGTAATGTAGTTATGTCTTAATTGTTGTAAAAAGCAATTTATTGCAACTAAGTAAGTCATTTGTTACTATTTGTTATGAAATAAATAATTTAATAGAACTGATAGAACTGGAGATAAACATAAAATCATTAGGCCAATTGTTTTATGGGAAGAAGTAAGCCCATCTATGTAAAACAAGTGAAATCATCTCACTTTCACTGGAGCTCAGAGGTATGTCAGTCAGAGACTAATAGGTAAATTTTACCTTTGTGAGAATGGTAAATTGGCCCTGGAAGACCTGCCTACAAATGTAGCACTTTTAAGTTCTGTGTAACTATTTTTTTACTTAGATATCTATTGATGAACTTTGCAGAAGTTAATCAACAGAGATATCTGAGATTCATTACACAAAACAAGTCTCTTCTTTTCACAGTTATATAACAGAAAACATGAGCAATTATAACAATAACAAAATGCTACAATTTGTGCATCCAAGACCCCAGCAGCAGCACCATAGAATTGCACAACTGAAGTGTCCTTTGGAATTCACATTCTGACAAATGTCCAACATATCTTCCTCAACTGGGTTAGGCATTTCAGTTCAAGCCACTACTCTACACATCAATACACATCAATATTGTTTGGAACATTTATTTCTCCTTCTCTCTCACCAGTGACTGTAAGGACTACAGCTAAGGGGAGAAGAAACAAGACAGTAGCAGTGGCAAATGCCATCGTCAACTATGCTAATCGGAAAATTTGAATGATTTTGCTCTGCAAGGTTTGGTTCCATTACCTTTCTGCTTATGGGGTACAAATTGACAAATTTTGCTTGAGACTCCATGACCTGTCTGTGGATCAATTCTCAATTCTTTGATGCCCTTTGGGCACCCACTGCCCTGACAATCTTGATGAGATTCACTCAGCTGAATGAAGTCATAGACAGCGGCTGTTTCCTCAAGTCTGTTGGCTTTAAAAAAATAATAATAATCAGAGCATTGATAGAAGTTACCAAATCAGAATTAAAATGTTTTAACAGAATGAGGAACCTTCTGTTGACTATAGCCAGCATTGCGAGAAGAGGGAGCCAAACTCACCAAATGCCTGGGATAAAATCCATCAAATGACAGCTCAAGATGCATCCCTGAGAAGAAGCTTTCACTGTATGGAAAAAGGAAAAAAGAAAGAAAAAATGAAGAGAGACAAATGTGTAGCTAACGAAAGAAGGTAACAGATGTCTAAATTTATCCCCTTCCCAGTATTTGGGGGTTGGACATAAGGTCTTCTAGAAATTATTGATAATTTTTGAGCTATAACTATAATGTTATGGAGTTTGTCAATATTTTGTGCAAAGGTGGATCAGTGCTTCTAAACAAACTGCATTTCTAAAATAAGAATGAATGTATGCCCTTATAGTTCCAAAAATCGTTTTTGACAAATACATTAAGTTTAAAAAAAAAATGAGAGAGAAAATATAGTGCTGTGTGTTCTGTTCTCCCGTGGCTTCTCTAAAAGCTGAAAATTCACATTGAGTTTTTAATGGCTAGTAATGCACAGTGTCTTCAAAGCTACCAACATGAATTTGACCAAAACTCCGGGAGGCAATGGAAGACAGGAGGGCCTGATAATTAAAATAAAACAAAGTGACCAGATCCCTAGGCTGTATTTGATGTTCTGCTCATTCTGCCCATTAAAATGACATGGGTATTCCATAATTTACTAGGTTAAATTTTTAATTGAAATTACCACTAATTCAAAACACTTGAAACTCTCAGAAACATTTTGGTAGGCTATTATCTGAATAGATAATGGAAAAAGTCTTACATCTCTGACAGCATGGAAGGCAGGGCATTTAGTTTTATCTTCAGGATTGTTTTGGCATTAAATGTTTATAATAGACGCACAGCAATCTAACAGATAATGTC